TATTAATTCAATCCTTTAGCAAATGTTTGTTGAGTGTCTGCTAAGAACAGGCTCCATTCCTGGCTCAGGGGACAGAGCAGCGAGTATATCCCCTACCATGGCCTATCAAGCCCTCATGATCTGTCCCTATGACCTCTGTGCCTCATCTCCTTCTCTCCCCTTACTTACTCCCTTTGCTCGTTACTCCATGGCTTTCTTGATGTTTCTCAAACACACCATTCTGCCATGGCTCCCCACTCTGCCTGGAAGACTCCTTAGAAATCTGTAGGGCCCATTCCCTCACCTTCTGGAGGATTTCACATCATTGTCAAATTCACAATGGGCCTTCTCTGAATACCTTGTGTGAAGTAGCCACCTCTGACCCTCTAATGTCTGATCACCCCTGCCTGCTTTAATTTTTTCCACTGTACTTTTCACTTTCTGACTTATTATTATTATTTTATTGTCTACCTCCCCTCACTACAGGTATGCTCCATGAAAACAGGGGCCGTATCCCCAGTGCTGAGAATAGTGTCTGAACATAGGCCTTAACAAATACTCATTGAATGAAGACTGAATGAGTAAAAAGATGAATGATTGGGGAAATGAATGAAAATCCCGAGGTTTCTGACCTCAAAGAATGGTGCACTGGAGACATAAAATCAATAAGATAACTCTAGCTTGTGTATTCTGGTAGTGACTCAGAGACTGGGTTCTAGAGTCTGTCACAGTTCAAATCTCTGCTTCACTTAGTAGCTGTGTCTTCGAGGGCCAATTACCTCAGCTCTCTGGGCCTGGTTTGCTCATTTGCGAAGTATGAATAATAATAATAATAATAATAATAATAATAATAATAGCAGCAGCATGGAGGATTATTGTGGGAATTAAATGAAACAATCCATATAGAGTGCTTAGCATGGTACCTGGTGTGTGGGAAGGAGCCAGTATTATCTGCCATTATTATTGGGTCACTTGCTGGAATCCAGTGGAGCCTGAAAAGTTCTTCAGCATTATCCCCATCCTGGTCTGGTATTACTGAGACTTTTCTGTTATGGAGTGAAAATTAGAAAGTGCATCCTACCAGAAAGACTGTCCCTGAGGACAACTTTATCTTAGGATTTCTTTGAACCACAAATGCTTCTGTCCCCTCTTCAAACACATATTAAACATTTCATTTGTTCAGATAGGCTCCAAACAATACTATCTGTCCCCTCTGGAAATAACTGTTTCCTGTTTAAATGTCAGCAACCAGTTAAACATTATGGGTTTTTTTTTTTTCTTGTAATTTTTAGGCCGCAGTAAATAATTGCTTAAGACTGTACTTTAAGAGGCATCTGTAAATCTTTCTTTCGCCTTGTGATACAGGGAAAACCATGTCAAAAGTCGTTCTGACAATTTGTATTTTAATTTAAGTTTTATGAGTTCCCATTTAAAGAAGGCCAGTTTCTTGTTGGCAAGCCTTCTTAAGAGGTTGAAGCTTTGATCTTAAATCCTAGGGAGACTTTGCAGAAATTGGAGGTGACATTGTTGACAGGTTTGTCTGTAGCTATTCTAGTGCCATTAATTAAACACACACACACCCCTTTTATTTACTCCCCTGGAGTAAATGAATTGAACTTGACTTTGGTTTTTGATTGGAAGCTATGAGAGGGTCCAGGAAACATCAAAGAAACGCTCTTAATCTAGTAAAACTAACTCTCAAATGACCTAGCTTGAACATTAAAGAGTTCTTGATTCCAGTGCGGGTCTAGTTTCTTTTCTGTAAGGCGTTAATTCCCTTTAATGATAAAAAAAAAAAAAAAAAAGTGCAGGGGCAAATAATCATCCCCTCTGCATAAAATTCCAGAGGGTTATAGCCTCCTTAATTTTATCTCGCTTCTGAAGGTCTCCTTTGTAAAACTGTGTATGCGTTTTTCTCTTGTCTTTTTGTACTGCTTATACTTTTAAGATCTTAGCTTTAAGATCTTAGAACTTTATTTCTTTTGCATTTCAATTTTAGATTTTTGGAATGGTCACAGCTGTCCTAAAGCTTTTTATGATCCTAGACCTTTAGGAATGAAGGTATGGACAGGTTAAGACAAAAAGCCAGATGGTGCCTTTGTAGCAACAGAGTAGTTGAGTAGCCTCGTAGTCGAGAGGTCTGTTTTCATGTCTGCTTGGGGAGCCCCACCAGACGATTCATTTGCCCCCAAACAAGTAGCCATCAGCCTGCCTCATGGGAGCCCAGCGCCATTTGAAGCACTAAAGAGCAGTGAGCAAAAGAGACAGAAATCCTGTTCTCCTGGAGTTTATGTTCCAATGGACAATTAACACAATAGCTAGGTTACACAGTCTCCACAGAAGACTGTGAAAGAAAATAAAGCAGTGTTATGGGGTGGACAGGGGAGGCCTCACTGATAAAGTGACACTGGAGCAGAGACCCACAGGAGCTGAGGGAGGGAGCTGTTGGCATGGGGGATGGGGGGAAGGGCCCCAGTGAGCGCAGAGATTCTGAGGCAGGAGGATGCCTGGTGTGAGTGGAGCAGCAGGGAGGCCAGTGAGGCTGAGGAAAAGTGAGCGGGTGTAGGAGGCAAGGTCAGAGGAATCAGAGCAAGTCCTTTTGGGCCCTGTGAGGCAGGTGTGACTTTGGCCTTTCTTCAGAGTAAGACGGGAGCCACAGGAGGGTTCTGAGCAGAGCAGTGATGGGATGTGGTTTATGTTGAACAGGATTGCTGTGGTAGTTGGGCTGGATCCAAGAGACTGGTTAGGTGGCTTTGGCCTTGATCTAGACCAAAGGTGGTGGATGGAAGTGATCTAGACCAAAGCCAGGATGGAAGTGATGAGAAGTGTTTGGATTCAGAGTACGTAATAAAGGCAGAGCCCAAAGGATTTCCTGGTGGACGAGATGGAGAACAGCCTGGGCCCCTGGACTATGGCACGCTTCACACGTGGTTTACCTTCTTAGTGATGGTCCTCATTGGTCTCCAGAGTATTGTCAACCAGTCGTTCGGGTCCTGATAAGGAATCTGTAGACACACTGATAGCTGAGAGAAATATCCATGGGGTCTTCTGCGCACACGTTCTGAGCAGATGGTACCAGGTTAATTAATGAGAGCTACCATCACTCACCTGTGTGAGTTGCTTAGTCCTTCTTGACACCATCTGACTGGACCTGTGGCATCACATTCTCAAAGGGGACCCGTGATAGGTGCTCACGTCATTCCAACTGGCAGCTTGGCCCTGAGTCTGAAAAATGTAGAGAAAGAGCAGCGAAGTATGAGAAGCTACAGTGAAGACAAAGAAGAGGAAGATCAGGACATTTTTAGTACAAACAGCTCGAAAAAGAGAAATACCAGGAGCGGATCTTTCCCTTTGTGTCTCTCGTAGCTTCAGTTGGAATATAAAAGATGCGGTATTTCACAGATAACCAGAGAGAATTAATGAACTAAGATAGAATATGACAAAAACAAAGATTCAGTCCCACATTTAGTCCCTGAGGGCTGGCGGGAGAAGAATTTGTGGATCTCTCTAGTCAGATAGGTGGAAGCTACGGTGGCCGTCCCAGAGCCCTGCTCTTCACCTGCCCTGATCTTTCCTACTTCAATAAACCAGAGAAGATGAGTACATGGTTCACTCTGATGGTGGCCACGGAGAGAGCCAAAAAATCTGTTTGTTTAGGAGAAATCTCATTTCCCATCCCTGCCTTGCTCATATGGGGCTGAATACATCTTAATCTAAGTTCTTATCTCAGGAAAAGCAAAGGGTGGCCCTGGAAGCCCTCTGAATAGCAGGTGCAGACAGAATGAAGAGGGCTAGGGAGGGTGGAGGCCTGTGGAAAATATGTTCAGGAGGCCAAGAAGTCCATAAGGCTGATGAGCTCGAGAAAGGAACAGGTGCAGGGGAGGGGGGCCAATGCCTAAGGGTGCAGACTGGAACCTACCAGGATAGGGTGATAGGGAGACCAGATGGGCTGGCATTCGGTCAAACCAGATGGTGGGCTTTTATTTTTAAAGGATTTGTAAATCCTAGGAACAAGGAACATAAGGGTACTGGGGCCTTTAATCCCATTAGTAGAGGACAAAAGTGTTCTCTTTAAAAATGTAAACCTACCAATTATAGAATTTCTCTTATCAAAACTTTGGGACAGAGTACCAGCTTGTGAAATGCCAAGAAATCTCTGGCTTCTTCATTGAGGGGAAGAGAGGAACTGCAGAAATAGGGCATTTGTTGTGAGTTACTGAAAAGCCTACTCCTCAGGAATTTAAAGTGTACATTTGGAACCAAACAAAATGTGATATATTTATACAAAAGAGTCTTGCTTACATATGGAGTGGGAAGGACAGCTAACTGTAATTAGGGACTGATTCGTTATTTAGTAAATTTTGAGTTTATAATGAGACAAATTAAAAAATTGTGAAGCACCTGTCACTTTCTAAAAAGTTGTCCCCCTGGGTCCCCTTCCCTGGTTCCCTGGCTCTTCTCCTGGTTGCATAAAAATTCTGTTCTTCAGCCCTTCTCTCAGCCTTTCCTGGAGGGTCCAGAATTACTTCCGTAACGCTTCTCCTCAAGGACTTCTCCTCGAGGAGACCAGACTCATGAGCGTAGCAGGGAGTCGTTACGGGGCACGTGTGGTGGTACGAGTGTGAAGGTGGCACAAGGCACAGGCAGGGCCACGAGGTCCTTCAGTAGACGGAGCAGAGGGCTGTGTCTCCAGTCCACAAGGAATCTGCCGTCTTTGCTGAATGTGACACCTGACCCTCCCTCTGAGAGGAAAAGCCTAAGTTCTTCCAAAGAATTTCAAAGAGATGTTAAATATTAAGAGAAAGTTTTAAGTAGTGCAATTCATTGTTAAATCACTGTTTTTGGTTAGAGTATCCATATGCCCAATAAGTAAATCCCAGCAACATCAGTTTTTGATGCTATTGCATAAATATTTCTTTTCGTAATTACTCCTGAAAAGTGTAACGGTTATCTCGTGTTTGCAATGGAATAGAGTTGCTTTCCAACCCCACTGAGTGGGTATTTTTGTTTTGATCTGTAAGGTATGGAAACCTGACAAGCCCAAACTGTGAAGAGGATGAAAGCCCCAGTTCATCAGAGTCTAAGATGGTGATCAGGAAGTAAGTATGCCTCTCTCTGCATTACAAGCTCTTAGTCAAGACTTATTATCTTAAAAGAATGTAATTCAGCAGAGTTTTTTTTTTATTCCTTTCCAATGTTGTCATGGTTTTTCTTATAATGTGTAAAATCATATAGTTATATTTTGACTATCCAGTGATAATTCATTTATTCATCCAATAAAAATGTATCAGGCATCTGCCATGTGCCAGGCCCTGTGCTAAGGGGAACAGCTATGAACAAAATAAGTAAGTCTCCGCTCTTATGAAGTTGGTATTTTAGCAGAGGGACAAGGAATCCCACAAAAAAGAATGCAGTAGTGTAAAGGGGGCTAGATCCTGATGGAGAGTTTGATTCACAGAGGGTGCCAGTCGTGGACTTTCTGATCCGGTGACATTGGAGCAGAGTCCCGAATGGGTTACGGGCTCGGCTTTGTGAATATCCAGGCAGGGAAAATATGGAAAATGCTCTGAGGCGGGAGCAGTGTTGGAGAAGTGGTAGGGAGATGAATGAGGCAAGAGCAGGTGCCAGAGGGTGAGATCTATAAGGTAGTGGGGGCCCCAGACCACATGGGGACTTGAAGGCCTCGGGCAGGATGTTCAATTTTATTCTAAGGAACTAAGGAACATAAGAATTTAGAGGTCCTAGGAAGAGCAGGGCTATTTATATTTCTGAAGGTTTTTATGCATCTATGTGGAAAATAGACTCTGGCAGTGGGACGGGGGCAAGAGCGGCAGCAAGGAGCCTGGTTAGGACACTTACAAGGGTCCAAGCAAGAGATGCTGGTAGCATGGACTTTCGGAGGAAGAGGAGTGGGGTGGTGGTGGTGGTGCTATTAGTAGTGATAGTAGTAGTAGTAAAAGCAGGAGTGACTTGTAGGAACAGCTTCTGCAGAGATCTTGAAGGTGTTTCTAGGAGGTTGTACTGATGAAGTGGATGGGGCATCTGAGAGAAAAAGAGGCCAGGACACCTCCAAGGGTTGTGGTATAAGTAGCTGATAGAGCAGAACCTTGGCTTTATGAGATAAGAAAGACTGGCAAAGAGGAGCAGTATGGTGGGGAGCATGTGTCAAGAATTTCATCTTAGACATACTAATTTTGAGACTGTTGGATGAGTCTAGATGGTTGGGAGAAGTCTGGACTGGAGGTACAAGTCTGGGCATCCTCAGTTTATACCTGGTGTTTAAGGCTAGGAGGCTAGGCGTGCCCTCCTGGGAACAAAGGGCAGATAGAGAAGAGGAAGGTCCAGAGACTGAGCCTTGGTTTCCTCCAGTATTTAAAGTCAGGAAAGTAGAGTGTCCAGCAAGAGGAGCCTGGAACAGAGCAGCCAGTGGGGAAGGAGAAGAAAGAAGAAGTTGTGTCCAAAAGACAAGCAAAGAAGGAGTTTGGGGGGGTGGGTGCTGCTGTGACCAATTATATCCATTACTGCTCAGATATCAAGCAAGAGGAGCCTGGGAAGCAACTACTGTGTTTGCAACATGTTGGTCTTTGGTCCCCTTGACAAGTGCAGCTTTCATGGATGGAGGTGTGTGTGGGTCAAGAGAGGACAGAAGTTTGGAGAAGTTTTTCTATAAGAGAAGAGAAATGGGCAGGAGGATGATCTGGAGCAAAGGAGAGTTTTTTTCAGTGTGTGTGTGTGTGTGTGTGTGTGTGTGTGTGTGTGTGTGTCTGTGTTAGCACTAGGTGATGGTTTAATCTGATGAGAATAGTGTGGGAGACACTGAAGAAAAATGCAGGGGTGCAGGCCACTATAGGAGTGATGTTCTTGAGTAGATGGGCTGTATCCCAGGGTGCTTGAAAGTACTCTTAGTAAATATTCATTCTTGGAGCCAAAAGTTTGGGCAGTTAATCCTATGGAATATTTTAACTCCTCAGAGGATTGACCAATGGAATCCTTTCTTCAGAAGCCAAAGATGTGAAGCTTAGAAAATTGAGTATCTTTTTAAGTCCTGAGTTAGGGAGTTTTATTATTTTATTGGATGGGTCATAACCTTCCAGAAAACCAGACAAACCAGTGTAGTTTTTTGAATGTCCAAAGCAAGATGTGGTAAGTGGAACACATACTTTTATTCTTAGAGGGCTTGGGGAGGCTTCTTGGAGGAGGTGACAATTTGAGGTAGGCTCTGAAGGAGGGTGAAAATTTTGGTGGTAGGACCATCTAGGTAGAGGGAAGAGTGGGACCAAATCAGGGACACGCAGTGTATGTGACATTTTGGAAACAACACAGAACTGGTGTGGCTGCTTCATGATGGTGTCTGTACCAGGATGAGGGGAGTTGTAGAACCGAAGCTATCGCGAAGGGGGTTAATTCTCTCAAGAGAATAGGACGATCCCTGCTAAGCAGTAGACAGCCCTGAAACGTTTTTGTAGGAAGGAACCAGTATAATCAAATAGGTGATCTGGGGACATGGCTTAGACGTACAGACTTCTTACTTAGAGTGTGGTCCATTTGCCAGCAGCATTGGCACCACCTGGAAGCTTGCTAGAAATGCAGAATCTCTGGCCTTACTGCAGACCTGGATTAGAATCTGCATTTCAGGAAGATCCTTGAGTGATTCTACACATTTAAAGTTTCAGAGTCATAGGATGAGGGGTTTCATTGTACATTTTGTTTATTCACGAAAACTTAACTGAAATAGTAATTTTTTTAAAAGAACCTCTTCAAATTAAAAAAAATTAATGTTTATTTTATTTTTGAGAGAGAGAGAGAGAGAGAGAGAGCAAGCTTGAGCAGGGGAGGGACAGAGAGAGAGAGGGAGACACAAAATCTGAAGCAGGCTCCAGGCTCTGAGCTGTCAGCACAGAGCCGGACGTGGGGCTCAAACTCACGAACCGCGAGATCGTGACCTGAGCCGAAGTCGGTTGCTTAACTGACTGAGCCATCCAGGTGCCCCAAAAAAGAACCTTTTTATGTATATATTTTTAAGCATAAACAAAGGAGGGATACTGTAAGAATTGAGTGGCCAGCTTGTCAAATGTTCCCTCCACCTGTGACCACATGCAGAAATAAGTGTGTCGTTATCCACAGATTTTGGAGTTGAGTCAGATCTGGAGCTATCATTCAGCTAGCCACCAAGGAGAGTAACAGTCTGAAAAATATCCAGAGCTTTTCTGTTTCCCAGGGAGTGTTTTGAGATTAAATAGGTTTCTGGGGAAGTAGCAAGTTAAAGAAAATTGGTTTGTACCCTGGATGTGAAGAATTCTGCTCATTATTTTAAAGTTCTATTCTAAAACTTCCTTGAACTTGATTGTACGCCAGGAACAGTGATGTGGGGGAGACTCCAGGATAAGCTGTTTTAAAGGGCTTTACAGTTTTAAGCATATGAGTCCTTAACAAAGAGCTTCACATAGAACTCCCCTGAGGGGTCCATCATCTGGGGACAATGGTCCTTTCCTAAAGCCTCACAATGAATTGGTAGAAAGTTCTTGACCCTTTTCCTCAGACTGAGTTGCTTTTTAAAAAAATTATGCCTGATGCAAATATGCTACTTTATCTTATAATGGACCACTCTGTCCTACAAATGCTGGAATGCTAAAATCCCTTCTCTCTGCTGACCTCTTTCTTCCTTTCATTCTCCTGCTTTCCGGCTGCTTCCTCTCCCCCTCCCAACTTCTCCTTTTATTATTTTTCATCTCATTTCACCGTTGTCTTTTTGCTTTTTCTAAAGTTACCCTTTTCCTAACCATTTCTGTGGCTGGAGAGGGTCACTGCTTTGTCTTTCTGAGAGAATATCGGGGAAGCATCTCCCTCTTTCCATATGTCACATATTGAAAGTTCCTCCATCATCACAGAGCTCTGGCACCTGAGATGTAGCAACGACCGAAGGCTTCCTAATGCCGGATGCACGTGTAGGAGACCTGGGTCTCTGGCAATGCTCAGTGGGCTGGTTTTGTCCCCAGAGGATATTTGGAAATATCTGGAGACGTTTTTGATGTCTTAACGTGGTGGTGGGTGGGGGATGCTATCGGCATCGGGCGGGTAGAGGCCAGGATCTCTGTGAAACGTTCTACGGTGCACAAGACAGCACCGCCTTCCAACAAAGAATGCCCTGCCTCTAAGTGTCATAGTGCGTAGGTAGGAAACCCTGCTATATGGCGATGAGGCTGCAGTCCTCAAGTGAAAACCCTCTTTATTTATGAGTATCTAGATCTGGGTGAAAATAGGACCATGCTTATCTGGGGATTTCCTTATTCGTGTCCCGTCTTGTACTGAGGTGAACCAAATGCCAAGGTGGCCCAGAAGCCAGCCTCATAGGAGGTGAAGGGCCTTGGGTGAGAAGCCTGGAGAATTGAGGTTTGAGTCTGTCATCGATTACTGTCACTTCCCCTCTAGATGACCTAGTCACCTCGCCTCCCTCGGTTTCAGCTTCTTGACCTGAAAAATGAAGTGCTCGGAATGTAAGCTCTCTGAGGCCCTTTCAAGTGTAACGACATCGAGGATAAAACTTATTTAGCTTTCTCTTCATCTTTTCAAAAATGAACATGAATATCAGAAACAGAGATATGGCCCAAATATTATATTGACCTTTTGAGAGGTACCCTGGACTGCTTTTTTCGATCAGAGAGGCTGTGCAACCAGCTTTGATGAAATAGAAAAACAAAATAGCTTCTTTGAGTTGCTTGTTATGACTCATGACATCATAACTGGTCGTGATGATACTAAGTACAGAGATGAGCTAAAGCACTGTATTGTGGGGTACAGTGAGCAGGACATAATGCCTACTGTTTTCCTTTGCTGTGAATCTGTCTTCTAGTGATTTCAGGTGGGAAACAGACGGTGGGAATCCAGTAACTTTCTAAGAAGTAAACATCCTGTTTTTGGGCAATGCCTTCAGTTCTGCAGATGGGGTGTAGTATGGGTGGGGAATCACCACTGAAAAACCCTCAACTATTATTTGGTTTTCCATTTTTAATGTAAAGCATAGAGCAAGGCTTACGTTTCATACAGGGTCCCAAAATCCCAAGATAACAATCTTCCCTGTATTTCTAAATCAACCTTTTGG